ACCAAAGTTAAGTCAGGCTATTTCAAAACAGCAAACAAGGGACACACACACACACATATATGTGTGTATATATAGAGAGAGATTTATGAACTGCATTACTTGGATTTATGGCTTTAGAATTGATTACTTTTAGAAGGACACTTACTAGCATTTATGTAAGGCTACAGAAAATAATTTTTTCCTTGGCCGTGGATTCAAACTCCAGATTTTATTTGCATTACTTTCCTCTGTTATAAAGTACGACTAGCAGAATGTGTGATAAGAGAACTACGGAGAAATGTTTTTTGTGCAAGGTCATGGAACATGCCAATGAATTAAGGTGAAAGTAAAACCTTTTTCTTCTGACTCCTTACTAATTTAGTTTACAGCATTGCCTCATTTTTATATTAAAAATGTTTCTATATTCTAATAGGAAAATTAAGTGTGAAATTATAGTATGTATCTTTATTCTGTATTTTTTAATTTGAAACAAGAAACTTTAGTGATATAATGATTATTTATTGTGGTGAGATACATGCATATATATGTGTACAATTTTAAACTTGGTGGTACAAATATTTCAAAGCTTCAAATGCTATGAAAATAAATGCTTATTGGTCTTTGAAATGTACAGTTGCTTTCTTTGATACAGATTTTTGCTCTTTGTGGTATAATGTAATCCATATCTATTTCACAAAGTAAACCATTGTAATTTAGAAAAGTACAAGTCCAAATACTATAAATAAGTGAAGAAATAATTAAAAGTATTGTGAGAAATTCTGCTCTGACACTTGGCTCTTGGTAGGAGTGATTCCAGGATAATCTGAACTACAACATTTTGACACACTGTGCAGGAAGTTTTTGGATTTTCCTCCCATCCTACTGAAAAAATCAGAGGATTGATAACACTTTCTTTAATCTGTGGGAATCTGCAGTCTGCAGATTTGTATCTTCTAGAGGATGATTTCTTCTAGATCACTCTGCTTTACTAAATGTTTTTTAAGGGGCAGAAGAAATCATGTAATGAAGTCTGAAATTATTTTGTGGAGACCTATTCCTGCAAATAATTTTGCATGGATCTGTGCAGCTCTGTGTTCTCCGAAGTACGTGTTTATCCAAATTGTACATCAGGAGTTAAAATTGGGTACTTATTTACATTTTATACCGTAAGGAGATCATTGGATATGTGAGAAATTCTGCTGTGTTGTGGCTTCATATGGTATATTTTAGGTGTTTGAATGTGGCACATAAATTTGCTGTATTTTTTTCAGTCGGTTTTAGTAAAGAGCTAGTGGAAGCTATTGAACTTGCATTTCTCATGCTAGGAGTAGGTGTAAGTTATGGGACTTTCACTTCTTAGAGGTGCAAGAGTAAAACCAAGTTCTCACGGGATGTGCGGACACTAGGCATAGAGAATTATTCCCGTGTTCTGTTTCCAAATTGTTTCTTGGAGTTTCTGTTTTGTTTTTTCCTTGATAGCTTCTCTCAGCACAGTTAGAGAACACAACGCTTAAAGCTGTAGAGGCAGAGCAGCAAGAATGTTAAGGAAGCAGAGAGAGGAACTGCCTCTTCTGCCTGCCCCTTGCCTGTTGGATGTGTTTAGATTGACCTTAAGCCCGTAAAGACATTTCTGAGTTGTAGACGTGGTTGGGCTGTGGACACAGGAGAAAGAAGTGCTGCGTGAGGAGTGGCTATAGATGAAAAGCTGGTTGTAGGGTTACTAAATTAACAATTAACTATGGAATTGAAAGCTGCCACTTTTCCAACCACAAGTGCTAGTTGGAATTCTCACTTCAGCTGGACTGCCTCATAGTTTATGTGGTTTGTCTTTGATCTTTCCTCCTGCCTTAAGGATGACATTTGCTTTTTTGGTTTTGTCTCTTACTGAAGTTCCCCTTCAAGTTGTTTCATGGCATGTCCAGCTTTCCGAATGCTCTTTCTCCCCTGTACTTCATTCTGCTGCTTCTTTTTGAGCAATAGCTGTAATATCACATGTGTAAAAGAAGACATGGGCATTAAGACAATAGGCAACTGTTGAAATCTTTATTACCGCCTATTTCATTGTAGTTATAATTCTTTTATCTCAGAATTACTTGAGTTGGTTTAAAGTGCAGGTAAAGAACAACATCTGGCTGTTTCTCTTTTTAACAAAAGCCGTGTAACAAGCTGGCTGTTTCAGACATTCTGAATATTGAACTCAACTTTGTTTCCCTTCTTTTCCAGTTGCTGCTGTAGTGTTATTCTATACAGCCCAAAGCCCACATAATATACCTTTGACTGAAGTAATTGGGCCGATATGGCTAATGTTACTGCTTGGAACTGTGCATTGTCAGATTGTTTCAACACGAACTCCGAAGCCACCTCTCAGCACAGGGGGTAAAAGAAGAAGGTATAGTGTATGTTAAAGTACTTACCGTTTAGGATTGTTAAGCTATTCTAAAGAACGTGCATGGAAAAAAAATGTAGGGGTTTGCGGTCTTTGCTTTGCAAGAGATGAGAAATCGGTGCTCTCTTTTGATCTGAAATTTTGAAATGGGTGCTTTATCAGTGCTCTTTTACAAAGTGACTAATTTAGGCATTGTCTTATTTGATTTTTAATGCATTGAATCTGACATTTTGCCTCAAAAGAGGTCAAATAGTGTTGGTGTAACACTATGTCTATTACTGCAAGTTTTATTTTAGACCATGGTGAAATACTGGCTAATGATCTCTGGGAAGCATATGGTAAAGGAGATGCTGCTGAAAACATGGAACTTAAGTCTTTGAGCACCTGCAGTAGTGAATTTTGCAGGTCTAAGCCTCTTATGAATGGGATGAAACATATTTTGGGTTTACAGCACTGTTTACAACAGTGAATAAGTGTTGTGCTTAGTTATATTAAATGGAGTTTATTGAATTGACCTGATTAATAAGCTTTTGCAAAATATTGTGAAATGTTGCTTGGTTTTGCATGCTTAAATTGCTGAACACGTTGAAGAATGAGTAGATTGCACTTACAAAGCTACCTTCCAATTTTAATCTCTTCTGATGAAGGAAATTAAGGAAAGCAGCACATTTGGAAGTACATAGGGAAGGCGATGGCTCTAGTACCACAGATAACACACAGGAAGGAGCAGTGCAGAGCTACGGTACAAGCACCTCTTGCAGTATTGGCGCTGTCTTCAGAGGTTTCTGGCATGCTGCTTTCTTTTTATCAGGGTTTGTATTTATTCAAGGCTACATATGTGTTAGAGATGCACTATCCCTTTTCTAAATAGGTAAACACCAATGTAATGATTAAGCTTTTGTTGATCTAGTTTTTGTTCCTAGCAGTAAACTCATCTGAGTGTTCGAACATGTACTAATGTGTTGTTTCTTGCCTTTTAAGTGCTTATTCGATAATTTTGAAAAGATATTGGATTAACTCCTAGTTAAATTATATTTTGATGTAGAAGTACTCTGGGCTGTCAGGAACAAACCAACTCAGTTTCTCAAGTTTCATCTGATGAGAAAATTTGACTCTTAAATTTTACTTTATTACATTGGCTGTTTATTACTCTGAGAGAATGCATATTGAACTCAAATGTCATCGAATCACACAATTTTTCAGAAGGAAAAGCCCTCAGGATTCAAATAGGCATAGTGTTTAGTTTATAAATAAACATGAAAAATACATCTTCTAAAGATTGGAAGTAACATCTAGCCCTGTTACATTCCAGAGCTGTTTTGCAAATGATTGATCTGCTAATGCACTGCTCTGGGCAATTAAAAGGTATTTAAAAAAAAACATTCTGTAGCAGTCTGTGTTCAGCATACACAATATTCAACATTGTGAATACTGTATATCAGCATTTATTACTGAGAAAATATGCTGATAAAGTAGTATGAAATTGAGAAAAGGGATACTGCAAGTTATTACATTGGTGTTTTGTTGTGCATGCTGCATCGTAAATACAGCAACACTAACATGTCTGTCATACCTTTGTGCTCTTAACCACTGGTAAAGCTTGTCTTATGTTACGTTCTGGGAATAACTAGTTGAAACTCTGGACAAGTTTTAAAATTGTTAAAAATTGTTAAAAATTTTTTCCCTATGTAGATTAGGCTAGCTTTGACAAACTGCTCTTCTTTGAATTACTTTCTGGTATATTTGGAGTGTAATCTTGTAAACTTTTGAATGTTTTCCATTCATTGAAGACACTGATCTGCAATAAGAAGACTGTTGGAACCTTCATTTTTTTTCCCCTACCTTCCCTCTCATAGTTGGCTCAGAGTGTTTTCAGTTGAGAAGGCTGGTGTGGGACTTACTGTTAAGGACTTGTTTAAACCATTTAGTGAGAGGTAGCATGCATACATGGATATAGATGTTAAGATTCAGTGATGACCGCTTAGTATATACAGTATCTTCAAAGGAAAAAGAGCACAGAGTGACTGAGAATGCTGAGCCCTTGCTGATTTGTTACCTCTTCAGTTGCAGAGGCCCAGTTGTTTGTATGTCTGAAGCCATACAACCTGTATCAGGAACTTGTCCAGCTGAAAAACAACCTTTTTTTTCCCATCATGCAGATCAGTTTCTTCGTGTATTATTTTTTTTTTGTGGTAATGCAAACGGTTTTCTTAGCACAGTGGGATGGCAGAGTGGGGCTGGGAATGAGTAAGCAGGAGCACAGCGTGGAGAGCATTGACCTGGTGATGTTGCTGAAGAAAATCTTATGAAGCCTCAGTGCAAGGAAGCTGTACAGTGGCATCAGTCTTGTTTCTTAAGACATATTTTGAAGCTAAAGACATGCAGGATAGCACATTAGAATGATTCATTTGTCTTTATTTGCAGCAGTTTTTCACATATATTAAGCTTTGAGATATCATTTTCAAGATTTTCAGATACAAGTCTTAGACATACGGTTTCAAAATTAAGCTCATAAATTATGTTCTTTGCTTTAGGGCAGAACCCTGTGTACCAAGACCATTTGTCTGCACTCAGGTCACTGGGAGCCTGGAACTGTGTACTGAATAAATATCCTTCTGAATGGCAAAACTCAGTTGGACTAATAAAATATAATTTGTAACCTTAATCCAGCACAGGGACTATTTAGAAAATACTAATTATTAGGTTCACTGGAAAGGAGGGAGAGTAATATGCAAATAGCTGATTTATTCAGAGTGCAGTACTGATTTGGGACTTTATGTGTATCCTTACTCCAGTTATGGAAATCTTACAACTGTAACTTCTATAAAATTTTTGCAGTGTGAACAGGAAGGAGAGATTTTTTTGACCTGATGAAAATACATGGAAGTAGAATACTTTACAGTGAAACTCTACAGGCTTCCAAAAACTTGATTTAAATCTTCCTCAATATTTTATTTAGCTAATGGATGAGTAAGAACAAAAGTCCTTCTTGACTTAGCTTATATGTATGCTCAAGCTTTTTAAGACCTTGGATATATTCATGGTGGTCTCTTGTCTTGCTCTTAAATACCTGTAATTCTAACATGAAATTTTAAAAGTAGATTAATGATGTGTGTGTATATATATATATATACACACATAGTAATTCTAGGAAACTGAACGTTTCTATCAGCTGGGAAAGTATTCTTCATGTTTGTTATTTTTGTTTTTTCTTTTAACATGGAATAGTGCATGAAAGCCTGACTTTAAGCCCTAATTTATGCTTTTCTGACTTGAGGCTTACACTTCAATTTAGGGATTCTTACAAAAAATAACTTTGATTTCTATCTTAGAAACAAATGAAAGACTTAGGTCAGGTTACCTGCATTTCAAAATGAACATTAGTTTTGATATCAGACTAATAGTTGTTTTGCAGTTTTAACATTTAAATATTGCTTGAGTAATGAAGACCTGCCTGAACAAATTATGCATATGTACATATGTTCTTTTTTCTCTTACTTATTCCTGCTCAACTGTTTGAGGCTACTTCTTTGTCGTAGCTTTCAAATTTCATGTGAAATGTGTAAAAACTCAGATCAAACTTGGGAGAGTTGTCCTGTTACTCCACTCATACAGCTTAGTAATTTGCGGATTAAGTCTCTCTGACCGGGTGTGTGTACGTATGTATATGATGAGAACTGCGTTCCCTTGTGCATTGTTGAAAAGAAATTTTTTTAAATACGTCAAAAGTATATTTAGTACATTAAAAATTATCCTCTCTGGATTTGTGCTTATTGCACAAATATCAGTGCTACTTCCTTAATGCTGACAACTGAACTTACTGACACTATTTTGTGATGAGTTGCCACTGAAAGGCTGATACTTGCTTTGTTCCAGAAGTGGAACAGCAATTTTTTACATTGAATAATGAGCTTAACTTTCTCTTTCTTCAGTTGTCTTATTTTTATTGACTTAGTTAGACAATTGACATTGGGGAATGGGAAAGAAATAAAGTTTTAAAATGTTTACTGTTGATAGTTTGGCCCTTTTGTCCATAGTCTCAGTAAGGTTTTAGAAGATCAACTTAAGAAGATCAGACCTAGAATATTAAATCTCAGTTTGTGAGCTAGTGTACATTGGTATCTGCAAACAGGAGGCTTACTAACTGCTTCTCTACCACAAACCATATGCTAAAGCATCTTGATCTCTCTTTAGTAACTACAGAAAGTGTTTATGCTTGTTTTGTACTCACTTAGAAATAAAGTTGAATTAGAATTTTGGGAATAGATCAGGGAATAGTGGGGGAGTTCCGTAGCTTCCTGCAAGAGCTTCCTACAAAAGAAGTGAAGCAGCAGTTACTTTGGTTTAAAAAAACCCCAGGGTTTTCCACGGGTAAGACAGAATGAGATAAAAGATGGGAAAGGAGGATGAAACAACCTTGTGTCTTCTCTTTATTATTTTGTCTGCATTCCAACAGATGATTTTTTTCCTTTTTTGGATTGAAATTCCATTTTATCAAGCTCTCCAGAGCTGTATTTTCTGTTCAGGTCTCCCCTGTATATGTGCAACACCTTATCTTGGGAGGAATGAGAGGCGGCTGTCTCAGCTCTCCCGATTTGTTTGATGTACATATTAAAGAGGGATTTGATCTTCTGCTGTGTAATCCAAGCTCTCACAGAATGCCTCACTTCTTAAAGAGAAAGGCAATTCATATTCCCTCACAGGAGCACAAGATCAACTGAACAGATTCTTAGTAGTTTTATGACCCATGTCCAGTGTTCTGCTTTTAATAAAAATAAAAAAATATGGAAACTTGATTTATAGCACTATTCCCTTCCTACCACAAGTGTTCTGGGAATCTAACAAGCAAAATCTAATAAACACAAGTTATTAATTGCTTTTCTGGTTTTTTTTCCCCATGTTATTTCCTTTGAGAATACGGAAGCTTAAGCAAAGACTTTAAAGTAGCTTCTGTTGATAGAGTAGCAAGCTGCTATTCCTTTTCATTCCTTCATTGACTGCACTTTCTAATTTGGAAGAGTAATCATCCAAATATTTGCTCTGAAAAAGCCTTTTTCTGGCATTAGATATTCTTGTTCCTACATCTATTCATTAGTTAAGGGCCTTGATGTCTAGAGAATGTTACAGAAGACTATTCTTCAGTATTAATAGTCTTAATACTGAAGTATAATTCGTAAACTTATTTTGTGATTTGAAAACAGGCTTATTTAGCACATTTTTAAGATATATCAAAATATGTTGCCAAAGGTGTTACTGGATAATACAGAAAAAGGTAAATCACCTTCTGTTTAGTAGAGCTGTCAATAAGCAGAGTGTACTAAACAACAACATCTGTGTAGAGTACTAAACAGCATGTCTGTTTGCAGCTTCAGGAAGTGGCATACTTCCTTGGAATTAATAACACTTAAAATTTCAGCATCTCTTTTTTTGTTAAGATAGTTTCTCATTTACATTTGAAGACTGTGGTTCTACTGTCAAAAGTTGCTTTGAATTTTTAGTTTTAAAAGTTTCTCTTCCTCTTCTTTCAGTAGCTAACGATAGAATTTTCTTTCAAACACTAATCATTTCTCTTGTAAACATTTTAGGAAAAGATAATGAGTATTATTTAGAAGACAAAATAGTTACAAATGTTGCATCAAATGTTAATACTGATTTATGGTCTTCTTAGTAGTAAAACTAAAACATGGGTTGAGAGGGGTAAGTTGGATTTAGACTGGAGAAAAATTGAAAGAATCCTGAATTTAATACATGTATTTGTTTCAAATGTAGATCTAAGAAAGCAAAAAACTCGATAGATAAATCCACTGAGACTGATAATGGCTACGTGTCCCTTGATGGGAAAAAGACAGGTAAAAGCAGTGAAGAATGTGTGCAGGCCCCCGAACGTCGCTGTGAAGTGATTAAGCCAGAAGAGTCAGGGTGGAGCACTGCAACAGTGAGAGATGCCTTCCCCAATCACAGTCATCACAAAGTAAGTGATGATGCTTCTGATGCATTCCAATCTTTTTTCCTTAAAATATTTTTAAAATTAAATTAGACTTAGGGTCCTGGGGCCAAAAATGATTTCATTTTTATATTCCTAGCCTTTCCTTTTTCTTGCTGAAGGATTCTCACTGACATCTCTAAACTTTCTTTGCCGTTCTATATTTTAATGCAGAAATCTATGTGCTGTCTTTGATCTGTGGATTTCCCAGACCAGCTAAACACACTGTATGTCCTCCTGCCTCTTTGATATTCTGGGCACAGTCTGCGTCTATGCTAAAATGGAGCAAATTTTGGGTTACTGACAATTTGTAATTTTGAGGTCATTCTGAGCATTTGTCTGTGAATTGTCTTCCTTTCTTTTTTTTTTAAATTCTGTAGAAGATGAGGAAAGCAGGAAACATGAAGTAGGCAGGACTCTCTATAATGAGAAACAGGGGTGACATGGAAGTGTAAAAAGTGATCATGAAAGCAAGCAGAACTTTTAATTTGCCAAGGTTTGATTATCTCCTGGATACCCTTTTTTCATCTTACTATTCTATGGAAGAGCTTTTACAAAATGTTTTTTCCTGTTTCTCTTACCATTGACATTTGAACATGGGTTGACTGCTGTTACAGCTCTTGCACTTGACTTTGTCTCACTAGTGTTTCCCATCAGTGATCAGTCATAGAAAGGGCTTTTTCCATGATAATATCAAAGGGAAAGATTAGTCTACTGGAAGTCTACAAATACTTTTACAAAGGAAAGCTGTTATTTGTGGATTTCACTATCAAACTATTTAATAACCCCTTAAAGATCCATATGTTTTAAGTCAGAATGAAGATGAAGGTTCTATATCAGAGCAAAAATTTCCCTCTGTTGCTCTGCAGAAGGTGCTTTCTTGGCTGCGATTGCAGCTGAGGTTGTCTTTGTCAGTTACAAGCATTTTATGTTCTTGTTGAAATTCAACAAATCAAGGATTTTTAAGAAAAAGTAATTTTAAAGATTTTAAAGTTTTTTTTAATAGAATGGTTGATATGTTTTCTATATAGCTTGGTGAGTACACACCCACATGAAACTGAAATTTGCAGAGGCTGGAGTAAGCTTCTTTCTTCTCTCCTTCTCACCTCTTGCTCCAAAGACAACCAGTACTTTTCTGGGCCACTGCAGAAGGTGGTCAATAAGACACCTGCAACTGTTCTGCCTGTCCCTGCTTCAGTTAAAATAGCCATCTGTAGCACTTAGTGTTGAAAGAAGAGGTAGACGTTAACTTTGTACTGTATGTGTTGATAAGTTAATGTTACAGTGTCTGCTGTCGTGATTTTGGTGGGTTTTTTTTGTTTTGGTTTGGCGTTTGTTCAGCTCTCTATATCTTGCCTCTAAGCCTTTCTTGGTAGGTTCAGTTTAAACAAAATTGCATTTAAAATCAGAATGTCAGAATTGCTCTTTAGTATAATACGACCTAGCCCTTTATTGTCTGAGAAACGTTAGTTTTGATCTCACAGTTTCTAGTTTGTCATTGCTGGTGTACCGCTTAATTTTGACAATTGGAAATGCATTAGTAGCTGATTTAACTGAGCATAGATAATAATGTTGCAGAAAGAAATTTGATTTTGGTAGTTGAGAACAGGATCTAATACCTGTCAGTGCGTGTCTTACTAATACTGTATTTCTTGTGCTAGAATACTCACAGGACTGTGACAAATTTGTCAGATGAAGTTTCTAGTGAGGAAGGGCCTGAAACTGGATATGCCTTACGTCACAATGTGGAACGCACTTCTAGTGACTGTACGCTTCGAAACAGGAAATCTCACCATTATAAGAAACACTATCCTCTGGAGGTATGTTCTTTTCCACTGCTGCTTTTCTGGAAATTGTTAGAACCTCCTGGCTTCTTAATGAATAGATATATTTCCCTCAGACCTTTTGTCTCCTATATTGGCTTTTAGGAGTCTGTTAATTGGAAGCCATGCTAGTGGGTGACAGGGAGCTTTTTTATTATTTATTTAATGACAGCATTTTGAAATTAATAAGTGTTTAGTTGATTTGAGCTTCATCTTATTTTTCAATTTGTTTTAAGGAGCCTAAAAGGCGTTCTATAGGTTACGTATCAGGTGCCAACTGTGTTGCTGTCTTTTGACAGCAGTTTTCCCTTCTGTTACAGAAACAGTAATAATTGGCAATATGCAAATTTACATCATGTTACTGCTGCTGTTTCTCTCCATTTAATTAGTATTTTGAATTTTCTAGCCTTCTTGTGGAGAAGTCTGACTGTCTCAGCTTCTGAGCTGTCATTCCCTTGTGTTTGTTGACACAGTCATTTAAAATATTGTCATGAAATCTCAGCAAAGTTATTCATGCATAATAATACTGAAATTTTAAGAGAATTGATGACATCATAGCTCAAAGAGGAGACTTCATAGATTACACGTTAGTAGAGTCCTTAATTGTAAAGATTCAGACATTGAAAGAGAAAGGAATATGTTATTCTTGTTTTATAATTTTTTAAAAATTACAAATAAACAAATACTCTTTTGCTAACAGTATGAAACTTAACAGATATATGGAACTTTTATTTCCTTTTTTTTTGGAGGCTATCTTGCCATTTTTTCATTAGAACTAGGAGAAAAGAGTGTAAAGAGTAATTTCAGCTCTGACAAAAGTCCACTTACAGATGGGTTTAATAGGCAGAGCTTCATGAACAAGCTTTCTCCTTTATACGAAAAATGTCTTCTTAGAAGGATTCAGATATCACTTTCTCTGATAACAATAGCAAAGCCTTGAAGTTGATGCTTTGCATAAAGATTTTAGATAGTTAGTAGATAATCTTATATTCTTTCATTTATTTTTCACAGACTTTGGTTAAAAAGATCCAGAAGGCAAATTGATTTGTGCATTTGATGCTTTTTGCACATTTGGCTTGGGGTAACTGAGCAGGTCGATACTTGGAACTCCAGATTACAGATGTCTCTTGGCTGTGGGTACTTGTGCAGCTGGTAGTGCTTGACAAGAGGAAGCAGAAAGACATGATTACAGTCAATTCTTTTTTGGCTTAAATATATTTTCTCTTGCGTAGAGTGCTTCAAAGATAGGGAAGCCTGCATAGATATCTTCAGTAACTGAAGAAGCTAAATGTGCTCCATGTGTAGCTTTGGCACTAATATTTTACACTTATTCCCCACTTGCTTATTTGACTGATGCTGTGAAAGAGGAAGAATTTCTTTGTTGTTACCAGCTCGCCTCCCCCACACGATTACAAAGGAAATAGAACAATAGTTTTCAAAACCGTGAAAGCTTTCTTTGTATTTAAAAAAAATAAATTAGTGAAGTCAGTGGATATGCTCTCAACTTCTGTCATACATTTGCTTTTATCTTCATGTTTACTTGTCAACTTAATTGTTGTTTGAGCAAGCTTTTTTAATGTTCTTATTTTATTAACTTCAGGACTCAATGGTGCCCATTAGTGACTGCCTTCTATAATTTTTTTTTTTTTTTTAAGAAAAAACATAGTTCAGACTCTTTCTGCATTGATGTTATCCTTCACTTTGTAAAAGAAAGGGAAAGAGTTCAGACCAAATTTTTTCTAAATATTTCTTTATAAAATCGCTTTCATAAAATAGTAAATGTGATTTTCGGGAAGGACAAAGAACACTTCTTCAGATAGTAATGCATTTGACAAATAATATTAAGTTAGTAGGACTGGATTTTCAGTGTAAAAAATCGTATATATTCTCAAGAGAAATGAGTAGAAAGAAATGATTTTTGTGTTAGGACAGAGTGGAAATTGCCAGAGGATGGCGATGAGTAGGTTAGTGCTGATTTTAGGACTACCTACCTCTCTTGCAGGAAATGGATTCTGCTTTCTGTAGAAAGTAGTTTGAAGCCTCTGAATTCTTGTTCTGAAGATAGCATTAGGTTGGTTCATATGTATGCATGGAGAGATTTGAATGTCCCAAACTTAATATTTGAACATAATAAGGGATGCTTGTTTCTCAAGCACAGTTTGTTTAGAGTTATTAAAACTTCATGTGTGACTATGTAGATTGTACATGTGCATACTCTTGCTTATTTTTCCTCTCTATTTCTGATACGTAGCTGTCTTCAAACAAACTCACTCTGTCTTTGAGAGAGTGTGTTAGTAGTAACAATGGAGTAATGTGATTTGTAGGGGACTCTGAGAGTCAATTCCTCTTTTATTGCGGATACTTGCATTCAGAAATGTACTTCTGGAACATATCACACTTTATTTTAGAGCGAGTTACATTGTGTCCACGCTGCTTGCCTGAAAGGCTCTTTGAATGCCACTGGCCTTGGATGACTCGAAATATGTCCTTTCTTTCTCCAGGGCTTTGCCCTTTCTAGAGAAAAAATTCTTGACTGTATGGAGACGTTAATAAGTAGCTAAAGTACTTCAGATCAAACAATTAGAGACAGAAAATCGAAAGGTCAAAGTAATTTAGAGTACTTTGTGAATGATGCTTTTCTCACTCTCAGTCACACTTCTGTATTACAGTTTCAGGCTGGTGTATATGGCTTTAAAGTTCACTTGTGTCTTTCACATTTTCACTAAAATAATAAAGCGGTAAAGTGTTTTAAAAGAGGCTTAATTTATAGATAATAAAATCAGAAGTTTGAGGCGTAGTTGTAATTTGTGGCTTGATAGGTGCTGTTAAAGTCTAAATTAATGAGCTCCAAAAGTCTGAGAAACGGTTATTTCCTTTTAATAGTTAATATGTTTAAATTCTTCATTATGTGACCGTCTCCCCAACAAAGCAGGGACCATGGACTGTTACTTGTTTGTGAAATGCCTTAAAATGTGCAACCTCTTAGACACTCCTTTGAGAAATGTTCCTTCTGATGGAACTTAAACACGGATTCACCGGTTTGAAATTTGTTCTGTCGGGTAACAATGTGGAATAAAGAAGCTGCTTTAATTCCAATGCGTATTTTATTTTCAGGATACAACTAAATCAGGTACTAGCTGCAGTTCTCGCTGTTCAAGCTCCAGGCAAGATTCGGAGAGTGCGAGGCCAGAATCGGAAACCGAAGATGTGCTGTGGGAGGACCTCTTACACTGTGCCGAGTGCCACTCCTCCTGTAGCAGCGAGACAGATGTAGAAAGCCCTCAGGTGAATCCATGTGTGAAGAAAGAATACAGAGATGACCCGTTTCACCAGGTTGGTATCCACCAGTTTTGATTTTTTTCTTTTCTTTATGCTGCACTCAACTTCTATATTATCAGCTTTATCATATGTCAGGAGGCCTGGGAGAGAGAACTCTATATTAAATGACAGTAACAAAGCCAAAGTGGTTTGATAGAATTAGAACAAGGAAAATTTGATTTCTGCTACATGGTCATTAATTTGTCAAATGAAGAGGATATGACAACATAGTGAAATAGCCTACAGAATATTTGAGTGTTTGAATCTCAGTTCTAGCTCAGGAGGACAAGTACTGACTGAAGTTTCCTCTGTGGTAGATGGTTCTGGGGTGTTTTTGGTTTTCTTGCTTTTTCTCTAGGGAAATTACTTCTTTGTGAGTGTGTATCAGACAGGCTGAGAGAGTTGTTCAGCCTGGAGAGAAGGCTCCAGGGAGACCTTATTGTAGCCTTCCAGTACCTGAAGAGGGCCTACAACAAGGCTGGGGAGGGACTGTTTACAAGGGCCTGTAGGAAGAAGTTCTTTACAATGAGGGTGGTGGAACACTGGCACAGATTTCCCAGTGAGGTGGTGGAGGCTCCATCCCTGGAGACATTGAAGGTCGGGCTGGATGGGGCTCTGAGCAACCTGATCTGGTTAAAGATGCCCCTGCTCACTGCAGGGGGGTTGGACTAGATGACCTCTAAAGGTCGCTTCCAACCCAATGCATTCTATGATTCTATGATTCTGTGATCTTTCTGTTTGTTTATATAAATATATATATATATAAAGTGAAATGAAAGATAACATACATAGTAATTAATGTTATATATATGTTATACATATATATGCTATATGTGATGTCACATTGGTATTATATATGTCTATGATTCTATGATTCTAAATTCTTTTTAGACATAATATTTTTATTTTTACCTGAAAGCTAATAATATATGTTGCTACAGAATAGCATTAAAGAAGGGAAATAATTTAATGCTATTCTGTAGCAACATATAGGCCGTAATTTCTGAAAATTTTAGTGTTTGTCCTGTGGCACCTCAGTTGCAGCCTGCCTTGCGTTCATGGACAGAATCTGTGGTTAACATTGACAATCAAGTATTGGTCTTCATTTTATGAAATCATTCGGGTGTCACAGTGACAGTTAACTTTGGTTTGCCTGTTAATTGCATTGCTAATTTGAACAATTAAAGAGATGGAGAGAATGTGAAACATTCTTCTGGGTAAACGTGTCGTGTAGTGTTGGTAGTGCATCTTCACTAATGAGTGACGATCATCACTAATAAGTGCTTTACAAGAGGTGGTAATGCTAGCTAAAGAAAAGAATTACTAAAGGCAGGCTTTTCACATATAAACGCACCCAAACCAAAAGAAGTAGCAATTTGGATTTCATGCAGTCTTTTTATTTTTAATTTAATATAACAGGAGCCTCAAGACAGGGAGTTGAATTGCAGTACATGCATTGACTTTTTCTGCAGTTGGAGTGTTTTTCTGTTTGATTGTAGATGGTCAATTTTTGAGTTTCTGCTCCTGGTGTTGATACTCCCTCTAGAGGGAGACCTTGGAAAACTGTGATAAAGGAAATCTTTCGATTATGTTATTAAATCAATGCAAATATTAAATAATTTTTTCATCATATTAAAAAAAAAGAAAAAAGACATAACTGAGTAATTAGCAGAATGCAATGATACCAGATAAATATTGATAAAGCAAGCAATAAAATAAAAAGCTTTACTTTCAATCAATGATAAATTATATTTTAAAAATAATGTCATACCCCTCTACCTGCTTCCCCCAGCAGCACTGCTTCCCAGTAGCTTGATGCAGATAGTGTTAGGCCACGAGACAGAGTTGAGAGCAGTTTTGATCACCTGAGTGGGAGAGGAGTGAGACAGGGCTAAGGGAAATCAAGAAATGACTGCAGCAGAATTTGTTGCTTCAACATTTTTTCAAATCCTTCAGTTCTCACTTGGCTCACTGTTGAGAGCAAAGGTGCCTCAACCTTAAGTGATGCAGTAGATCAGGTGGGGTTGCTTGGCTTTTGGAGCAGCGTGTGATGATTACACTCCTACCACTCTCTCTGTATCTTGCCAGTACCTGGATGTCTTTCTTGTACCACAGTGCCCAAAACTGAACACAGTGCTCAAGCTGTGGCCTCACCACTGCTGAGTACAGGGGCATGACTTCCCTACTCTTGCTGGCCACAGTATTTCTGACACAAGCCAGGATGGCTTTGGCCTTCTTGGTCACCTGGGCACACTGCTGGCTCATGGTCAGTTGTCTGTCAGCCCCAGGGAGTGTTAAGCTCCCCCTTAACCTCCCCCCCCCCGCGTTCTTTTTCTGTTGGGCGGTTTGGGAGCCACTCCTCCCCAAACCTGTAGTGTTGCCTGGAGTTATTGTGACCCAAGTGCAGAACCTGATTCTTGGCCTCGCTGAACCTCATACCAGTAGCCTCAGCCCATTGATCCAGCCTGTCCAGGTCCCTCTGCAGAGCCTTCCTACCCTCAAGCAGATCAGCACTCCAGCCTAACTTGGTGTCATCTGCAAACTTACTGAGGGTGCTCTCAATCTCTGTCAAGATCATTGATAAAGATATTAATCAAGACTGGCCCCAGTACTGAGCCCTGGGGAACACTGCTTGTGACTGGCTAGCCACAGGATTTAATTCCATTCCCCACCACTCTGGGCCCAGCCATCCAGCCAGTGTTTGGTCCAGCAGAGTGTATGCCTGCCCGAGATACAGGCAGCCAGTTGTTTCATGAGAATGTTGTGGGGAACAGTACCGAAACCTTCACTGCAGTCCAGGTAAGCAACATCCACAGCCTTTCCCTCATCCACCAAGCAGGTCACTTTGTCATAGAAGGAGATCAGGTTTGGTAAGCAGGACCTGCCCTTTATGAACCCGTGCTGACTGGACCTGATTGCCTGGTTGTCTTGTAAATGGTGTGTAAAGGCACTTGAGATCATCTGCTCTGTGACCTTCTGTGCCACTGAGGTCAGAGGGACAGTTCTGTAGTTCCCAGGATCGTCCTTCCAGCCCTTCTTGTGGATGGGAGTTGCGTTTGCTAATCTTCGGTCCACTGGGACCTCCCTGCTTAGCCAGGGCTGCTCATAAATTGTGAAGAGTGACTTGGTGAGCACGCCTGCCAACAACTTCAGCGCTCTCAAATATAACACATCTGGTCCCATAGACTTGTGTGTGTCTTACATACAGTAACATACAGTAGAAGTAAATGCTACATAGTGATACATTAGTCTAATAATAATAACTCTTTTACAAGAGTGTCCAGTGATAGAACAAGGGGTGATGGATTTAAATTGAAGAAGAATAGGTTTTGATTGGATCTTAGGAAGAAGTTCTTCGGTCCAAGAGTGGCAAGACTCTGGAACAGATTGCCCAGAGAGGTTGTGGATGCCTCCTCCCTGGAGATGTACAAGGTCAGGTTGGATGAAGCCTTGAGCAACCTGGTCTAGTTAAGGGCATCCCTGCCCATTGCAGGGAGCTTGCATTAGATGATGTCTAAGGTCCCTTCCAATCTAAGCCATTCTGTGATAAAGTATATTTTGTCAACAATGTGCTGACAAAGGAATGACAGAACAGTAGACTGTTATCTCTGATGGAATATATTCCTTGCTTTTCCCCAGAGTCATTTGCCTTGGATCCACACTTTGAACCCAGGACTAGAAAAAATAAGTGCAATCGTATGGGAGGGTAATGACTGCAAAAAAGCGGATATGTCTGTGCTTGAAATCAGTGGTATGATAATGAATAGAGTGAGTATTCATTTTATTGTATGCAAATATTTTGTTTAGGGAGTCTAAGCACTACCAAAAATAAGTTTGTTTTATGTTGGGTTTTTTGTTGCTTTTTTTTTTAATTTGGTTGGGGTTTGCGGTTTGTTTGTTTATTTTAAAAAAGTATCTGTTATTGACATTATTTTTCCATGTCTTAAAACACTCTGATTTACTTGGTTTTGACAGAATTAAGAGCTACTAGATGTTAGGACAATAAAAGGTGTTTGTGTTGTTAGGTGCTTACTAACATAGCCAACCTCTGTTTTATTGTTCCGAAGTGTTATATCCTATGAATATTCTTATTTGTCTCCTTGATTCTGATGAACAACTCCTAAGCTGTTTTCGGAATGTACACATATATGACTATTTGGATGCTAATGTTAAGATTGGAAAAGAAAGCTTTCCTATTTAGGAAACAAACATCTCGGGGTGTCAGTAGGATGTCTCGCGAGTCCTCCCTTCTTTTTCCTGGTACTTTTCTTCACGAAACAGTTGGAAAAGCGTTTAAGTGATGTCATACTCTTTTTCAATATAGACAACATAGGTGTTTTGTAGAGTTGAACATAAAATCCTAGCATAGCTTAAGAAAACTACCACTAATTCTGGCAAGTTGATTCTTACTATCTCAAACTTGTGATAAAGCAATGTGTTCACAAACGTAGTTGAGATCTCTGTACCTGACTCAGGGGTGATAGGGTTCTGGGTGCAGGGCACAGCAGAAGTAAACTTAGCAAAGCCATAGCCAGCACAAGAGAACTTGAGTCCCGTCTGCATTGTGCACACTTTGATTCCTTAAAAACACTTACAACCCCAAAGCAAAACACATACAGGATGAGAGAAACACAGTCTGATTGGCACACTTTGCTAATTCAACCTTGAATTAATTTTTAATACAGGAATATGCAGTGGAGTATTTTAACTGTAATCTTCTGTCGCTGGGTTTGTAAATGTATGTGATTCCAGTGCATTAAGTGCTCTTTAAGAACTTTTTTTCACAGTAAATTGTGAAGATGCTTGGTTGAAGATTTCATATAACTTCTCAGATGATAAAGCATTGTTTGTGATAGTAAGACAGTAATATAATTTATTTATTGACTTATTCCAAATTAATTCCAAAATTAAAAATATACCTTGTTTTCTTTTGCTTTTAGGTCAACAGCTATATACCAGGAATTGGTTATCAAATTTTTGGAAATGTCATATCTTTAATCTTGGGTTTGATGCCATTTGTCTTTCGACTTTCCCAAGCGAAAGATTTGGAACAACTAGCTGCGCATTCTGCCACTGAACTTTGTGTGACTGCGTTTGGATCAAATGGAGACATTCTGGTTCTCTCAATGGTTGTTATAAGTTTTGTGGTCCGTGTGTCTCTAGTATGGATTTTCTTTTTTCTGCTGTGTGTAGCAGAGAGGACATATAAACAGGTACGAACAGCAAACCAAGAGGCTTCATCCTCACCAAAACAAGGTTTAATGTTTATGATTTTTTTTGACTTTGTAGATATTTTAAACTTGTTTTCTTCAGTGCACTATGATTCATAGGGCAATGATGACAAATACTTAAGTGGGCTTAGAGTTTAAGACATGACTCAACTGCAATGGACTGAAGTCTGTTCAGTCTCTGTAGCTAAACCTTTTTCCTGGAGAGCAGTTCTAAGAGAAAACTTTTTAAAAGAAAACTTTTTAATTTTCTGTTTCAGGCTTCTGTCTCAATACATTAACCCAGCTCTTAGTCATGTCCCAGTTTGTCTGTTTTCCCCAAGGAGGAGTTTCAATAAAATAAGTCTATGAATTTCCAGTTTGTTCTGCCAGTGTGTTTCTTTTAAAACCTTCAGTTTAATTCTGAACCATTCAGTCTAGACTCTAACCCAGCTTGCTTTGCTGGTAGATCAGTCCCATGGCTGGAGACAGTGAGAGCTGCTCTCTGAAGTAAAACACCTGTTAATTCATTGCTTGTTATTGCAACTTATACTTTCTTTTATCAAACTATAGCCAAAATACGTGATTTAGTACAGTAGAATAGAATTGACCTGCTTCCAATCTTTTGGAAGGAACTCTGTGATACAGGCACTATCTAATGCAAGTGATTGACAGGTTTGATTTTTCTCCCAAATTTTAAGAGCATAGCAGATCTGTTCAGATCTGTCTGAAATTTGAAGAAAGAAATTTGAAGTATAGCTATATTTTGTTTCTCGTTAGAATATGAAGAGTTTATTTTTCTCTCAAATTTTAAGAGCATAGCAGATCTGTTGTCTGAAATTTGAAGAAAGAAATTTGAAGTATAGCTATATTTTGTTTCTCGTTAGAATATGAAGAGTTTTAAAACTTAGTGTATCTTCTCATTTTAGTAACGTGCTGCTCTGATTTCTGCACTGTTTTAACATATTTTAATGTACAGTGATACATTACACATTATTTTGACATGTTAAGTGAAGCTTTTTCTCCATTGTCTTTGCAGTGCCCTTGGAAGTCAATTAACAATTAAAGTAATTTTTTTCTTCATCTCTGCAGAGGCTACTTTTTGCCAAACTTTTTGGTCATCTAACATCTGCCAGAAGAGCAAGAAAATCAGAGGTTCCTCACTTCCGCTTAAAGAAAGTACAGAATATAAAAATGTGGCTTTCTCTCAGGTCCTATCTGAAGGTAAAATAATGTATACTTTTGCCACCACTTTAATGTATAATATGTCATGTTCTAGTGTGAATTTTTCTGCCTGTGCACTGGGTAAATGCACACGTGCCATTTGCCCTTCATTTTAGTGACACTAGCCCAGCAGTGTCTGCAGGCAGACAGAATGTGAGAAAGCAAACATCTAGTTTTTACCTTGGAGTAAAGTATGTGTTCAGAGTTGGAGTCTTGTCTTACTAATGCTGGCAGAAAAGTTTCTCCAGTGAGTATGAGTACTTGTAGTATAATGCAGGTAAGACCTTACTGTAAGAGCCTCACCACTTAGTGTCATTGACACAGAAGGAATTCATGAAGCAAGACAGTTTATGTTCAGTTTATTTGTTCTGTGAGTGTGTATACATGCCAGGTAAAACTAGAAATTATGACCAGGTAGACATTCTGATCCTTCTCCCCTGAGCTATGTTCAGCTCGTATCGGAGTAATCTTCTTGTGTCTCTCTAACAATCTGTTCAAGCCAGAGCGTTTTGATGATTTTGTGTGAAAGGATCTGTATTATCTGACTCAGGGTTGGCTTTTTGGGCACCCCTCCCTCCAAGTTTCTTTCCATTTTCCTCTGCTTTAGGTAATTCAATGCAGATGAAACTGGTTTTTCTTTGGTCAGTTTCTGTAGAACCAGGCTTTTGGTGAACAGCAACTACCAGTCTCTTTAGTGGTGGTAATCCCCTCAGTTGCATCTGTGCTTCTTTCCAGTAGCAATTAAGAAAGGTTAGATGAAATCTGCTGTCTTTAGAAGTAGGTGAAAGATCTTGAAAATATGGAGAAGTTATGCTGTGGAGACTAGGGAGCGTGGGAAGCAGGAACTGTAAGCAGACCGATTTTTTTAATGTAAAGCACAATCTTGAATCTGAAAGATGCATCATTTTAAGAGGAATTGAGATTTTTCATTTACCACACCCCTTGTGTTAGGAAGTATCTGTTGAGATTGTAAAGTGGTACCCTATAACCTTTACATTTGAGAGACTTTGACGTTTTTCCTTGTAGTCTGTAAAGTGTTACTGGATGGGAGGAAAGGAGGATGGACAACAGAATGTAGTTTTGATGCTTTTAAGTCTGCATAAGGTAGCATTGCTTTGGAGGGAGTCTTCTTTCTTCACAACCACATCTGTATATTTCACCTTTTCAAATGCCTCCAGAAACATTTCTATAATTCTATGGCTAAGAAAAAAGCAATCAGACAGTGATCAGAGGCAGGTGCATAGGGAACTGACCGCTTTGAAAAGTAAGCAGTCAAGAACAGTAATTTTATGTGGTTATTTTATTTGGTTCACTGGGCAGTCTGTAATGTCTGTGCTAGCAGAAGGAAAGGAGTGGAGACAGGCAGCTAAGGAGCAGAGCTGCGTTTGTGCTGTGGTGCCGCCGACATATACTGGCATAGTATTTGTCCAAAATACACTTAAATGCCACCTGTCTGTATGTGTCCACTTGCAAAGATGTGAGCCAGGGTATACACACATCTCAAGTCTCGCAGAGGCAAAACATTGGCTCAGTCTAGAAGTACTGCATTCATACCTGCTGGAGTTATAGTAAATGTCTGCTAAAACTTGGGTTTCAGTGCTGCATAGGATGTTTAATGCTTTCATTAAAATAAAAAGGGAGGAAAAAGCTTAGTGGGTAGAAATATTTTATTGTTCCAGTAAACAAGAAAAATATGGCTGAAAACACTGAGCTTGCACCTTTTAAGAGAAGCATGTTTGTTTCTCGGTTTTCCTTCGTGTTCTGGGGAGAGAATTATATTATTGCACCTACCACAATGGGACAGTGATTTACTGCTACAATTTGTATATGCTAAAAAGAAGCAAATAATGGAAAATACCAACCATGTCTTAATGTCCTGTTGCGACCTGGTGTCCAAAAATCTTTTGTTAGCACTGGTTTGGTACTTGGGGTTGAAGCCTAATATTGTATTGAATTTGGTGTGTCGAGGAATGATGCCTGAATGAAAGTTACTTCACATCATGAAGGAGCTGACTGAACAAGTGGTGAATATTTTTTTTTCTTACAGTTATCTTTAAATGCTTGGATCTGAATTAATCTCATATGCCTTTATGAGTATTGAAATGTAGTGGTATTAGTAAGATCTAATATGGTGTTTGGAAGTTCGATTGCCAAATTGTGAGCAGTGATGAAAACATCGGTTCAAGGTGTGAATCTAACTGGATGTGCTAAATACAAACGCTTATTGGGCAGGTTTTCGCTCACATCTGCACACCCTTTCTTTTCAGCGTCGAGGTCCTCAACGCTCAGTCGATGTAATAGTTTCATCTGCCTTCCTACTGACTATCTCAGTTGTGTTTATCTGTTGTGCACAGGTGAGAGAATCTTATTTAAGTCATGGTTGTTTCTATATAAGAAAGTTTGAGTGGCTTTTTGTGTGCTGTTTTCTGTTAAGTTGAAAGACCAGAGTGAAAAATCAGTAACAGCTGTTAGGGCTTTCCAGAAGATTAAGCTCCATTTCGTATTATTCTTCTTACCTGCTTTAGAATATTATTCTGTAAGAGCTAAAGAAACTTACTGACAGCATAATTCCTAACACAGTAGTTCTATTATGTTTTAAGTCTGTGACCTCTTTCATTTTCCATCATGGATTTTGGGACACGATTGGTTGGGTTTTTTCCCCTAACATTTTGCATCAAAACACACTTTTGCAAATACAGTCGAGATTGACCTTGGTTGATTTTTGTGAGAAACAAGATTGTTGGCTATATTAGCCTGCCCTCTAGTGGAATATGTTTTAGTAAGCAAATCTGTGTTTTTACTGTTAAAGATCTTTCCTTGAGCTTCTGTTTCAGAATTCAGGGAGGCTTCTGAATGGTTTATGGTTGCTTCCCCCCCCCCCCCTTCTGTGCTAGTTAGTGTTAATGTGTTTTCTGGTAGCTAACTGTAAATATTTTAATAAGTGTATAATTTAGCAGTATCTCTGCTTGAATTCATTTTTTTTAGGAATATAAAAAAAGATGTCTAAATTCTGATTGAGCCTGTCAGAGCATGTCTTTTCTCAAACTTCATATCTTTGACATAGTGTTGATTTTAAATTATGATTCAAAAATCTTTTACGCCTCAAATCAGTCTGTATACATATTACTGCGAAATTTTTCTTGGAGTTGGAGAGTTATGTAATTATTTTCTTATGTTTTAATTAATTATTGCTTTGAATTAAGTTTTGGGTTTCTCTCTTTTCCCTCTTGTTTTCAGCTGCTTCACATGCATGAGATCTTCCTGGATTGTCACTACAACTGGGAACTTGTAATTTGGTGCATTTCACTAACTCTTTTTCTCTTAAGATTTGTTACTCTTGGATCTGAAACCAGTAAAAAGTACAGCAATACCTCAATATTACTTACTGAGCAGGTGAGAACTTGTATAGACCTATGCTTTTATATCTAAACAGGTCATTCATCTGGTAGATCTCACATGCATTTTAGATGTATTAAAATAGTCTGAAATAGGGGGTTAGTTAAGGTGTCGTGAAACACTACTTTATAACCTGAAGTTCAGTTTCTTTGAGAAGTGTGTGACTTTGTTCAAAAATTGTATGGAACACTGAGATAGTCATATCCTGATTTCTTTTAAAGTGAACACTCTTAGAGATACCAGTATATGTCACAGAATCACAAAATCTCTTTTGTTGGAAGAAACCTTTAAGATCATTGAGTCCAACCATTAACCCAGCACTGTCAGGTCACCACTAAACCATGTCCCTAAGCAAGTCATCTGATGTAATGAAAGATCTAATGGAACACAAACATAAAAAGTAGCAAAAGAAACCTGAACTCTTAAACTGTTGGATGGGAGAGTAAAAGATTTGAAAATAGACTTAGCCTCTACAAAGTGGGTCACTGTTTTCAGTCCAATAATTTTGACTGCTCGTTTGCCTGGATTACAGGTAGTCTCCTCTAGACTCCTTTGGATATTTTTTCTTTCAGTCTTCTGTCAAGCTCGGGTTTGGATCTGTGCACTTTTCTTCTTGGGAATGTTCTAGTTGGCGTTTGTACTGCAGCCTCCCCTCTCTGCTCTGCCTGGCACTGCTGATAGTTTTCCAAGCTTAGTGTTTTCAGGTAGTGTGAGGTAAGAAGTCATCTCTTTCTGCTCAGGGAGGTTTCACACTGATGCAAAACACAGCATATGGGACAAGGTAAATAGACAGTTAAAGAAACCTTCACAGGTTTCCTACAGGAAATGTGTTCAGGTTGGAGAATAAAAACCATCTAAACTGCATCTCCCAAAGTCAGGATGTGAAGCTTATGACAGATGGTATAAACAACTGCTTGCATCTTTTGCTCAGTGAGAATTCGTTGTGCCTTTACTGAAGGTGATGAGGATAGACACCGAGGAGACCGACTGCCTGTTTACCCTGTTCCAAATGCTGTCTTGTAGCAGCATGAAACATCTCAGAGTTCCTGAGCTCAAAGAGCTTTGCATTGTTCTATTATCCTCGGACTACAAATAGCCTCAAGCCCCCGTGAAGTTTGTCATCTGTTTCTGGAACAAAAATGGAGGGAAATGTTTGGGATAAGGATTGGGGAAAAAAAAAAGCAGAGCACAAGATGAGAGAGGCAGAGGTAGAGAATGTCAGACCTTTGATTTGCTTTCATAGGTTTCTGCGCTCTTCATGAGAGTTGGTGTTCCAGTATTTTAAGCCAGCAGGGACGCTGAAAGAAACACCTTCACTATGTCCCCAAAACTTCTAAAAAATCAGAAAGTGCTATGTCATCAGACATTTAGCTTTGTGTTGAATCCAGCTTGTTCAGTCATTTCCCTCAAAAACGCCCAGGAGCTTTATGAAATGAGAACCAAAAAAGAATTCACAATTGTTTCTCAGAAAATAAAAAGGATGCACGTCACTCTGGGTAGAACTTATTTTGCTCTGATTTCACATACTAGCTGAATACCACAGCGTGTTTAGGGTGTTCTTGGACAGATTCATTACAGTCTGGCATTTTGGCCTCTGGTGAGAGGTCAAGCCTAAACAATTGACTGAGACTGACTTGGCCTAAAAAACCACATCTGAACTGGTGTCCTTGAAAATTGCACACTGGTGTTATTAGGCTTAAGAGAAGAGAAGAGAATGAAGCTTTCAAACAAACAAGGAAAAAAATACAGCAGAAACCCCCTAAAGGACTAACAGATCTCAACCTGCAGATCCAATTTAAATGCTTTGTGGATAAGGTGAAATTGCAAATCCTGCTGTCAGCAAAGTTCCAGCCACTTCTGTGTGCTTTACATTCATCCCGTGAATCTTAGGATTAGTAGTCATGATGGGAACCTAAGCGATCAGTCACTACACCTCAAGGGAGTTTTTGACTGTATGCTGTTTGACTGTAGTTTTTCACGTCCTTCTGAAAGTGTTTTTAATTGGCCTTGTAAACTAAGTGCCTCAGTGGTTACTTCTGGAGTAAAATACAATGGTTACTTCTGGAGTAAAATACAATGCATGGCCTTGTAAACCAAGTGCCTCAGTGGTTACTTCTGGAGTAAAATACAATGGTTACTTCTGGAGTAAAATACAATGTTGCCTTTCCAGTTTTAAATCTCAGAACAGGTGTGGTAGATGGCTGTGCTTATATACAGACTCCCCTCCTGATTCAAAATTTGTTGTTGAATGTTGATGTTTTTCATAAATTAATGAAATCGTCGTAACTGTTAAAAGAGATTTAAGCCTTTTTAGGATTTATTAAGTAGTATTTTTTTTTTGCGATTGCTAAATAGAGCCTTTAGTCTTAGTTTATTCCTGTTTATAGACACTTGAATTGTAATCAGTAATTTGTTATTTAAACAGAAATCTCTGTGCCTCTGAAAGTATAATCTACTTTAAAATTAAATTGATAGCTCAGGAGCTTAAAATGCCTAAGAATATATTAGGCGTAGTTTTTATTTTTTAACTTGCATAAGAAATGTAAGTGACCCTGACAATATTCAGTTACTTCGTTTAGATGTCTGTGGCTCTTGTTTTCTTCTTTGTACAGCTTTGCTTGGTAAGAGTCTCAGTCATCTGAAGGACTGCTTCAGCATGTTGCTAAGTTGTTCATTTTTTGTTTTGCTGGAGGCCGACATTCTAAAATGAAAAGTTAATATCTTTTCAAGATATTTTTTTCCTTTGATTTGCTTTTGGTTTGCAGTAAAAAAGAACAACTAACCTTTGCCTGGTCTAGGATATCAAAGAGAGGCGATTTGAGAATGAAAGCTAATGTTTAAAAATTGCCAGAAGGCCAGAAGAGGGCTAATTTGTACCCTTAACTAAGCTTTCTCAGAAACAATGACCTAAAAAAGTCTGGGTTGCAGAAGTTTTGAAATGATCAATATACTGTTTTTCTACAGCAATGAGGAGTTTAATAGTTTTTCAAATATTTAAAAGCACTGGAAAGATTGACTTTTCTGTGCTTGAGGTGCTCCTGAAGTACTCAATTATACTAAAATCTTTTAAAAGAAGAAGTTACACTTTAGCAGAATTATGTTTTAGTTTTTCAGTCTATTGAGGAACTTTTGGGGATGTTAAACTTTGTTAGATCTACGTGCTAGTGTGAAAACCTTCTGGAAATGAATTGCCAAAAGTCAGATAGTTATTGATGTAGAAAATAGAAATTATGTAAATACTACATATATGGTAGTTACTCTTGCCTAATTTGTGGATTACACTAAACTTCAAATTTCTTGCTATAATAGTGTCAAATGTAATTTTTTGTATCATAAACCATTCTGTTTTCCTATGGTACTGAGCCATTATTTGCTCTTAAATATTAAAAAAGAAACAAAAAAGTTTGCTTGCTTGCAGAGGTGTCGTTGCTGTTCTGTCATATGGCTGCTGAGTAATCACTTCATATTGTTATCAAATATTTCCAAATGAATTCCTTTAAATTCTGAATAAGTGGTGATGCTTGTATTTTATTTAAATCAGATAAACTTGTACTTGAAAATGGAGAAAAAGCCTAATAAGAAGGAGGAACTGACACTAGTGAACAATGTTTTAAAACTTGCTACTAAGTTATTGAAGGTAAGAATTAAAATATATTACCATGTTATAGGTAACTAGGAAGCAGAATAGATTGCTTAATGAGTCGTTTGTGTGACTTGTGCAGGCTGAACAGTGTGCTTTGGTTTAAATCTGCCCTGTGACTCTTTCACAGTGACACTGCTTGTTCATACAGTAGAGTCTGTTATGCTGCTATCTTTGTGGCTTACAAATTATTATTGTTATATACAATTAGTTTTATTCTTTAACAGTATATGAGCAGCATGAGAGAAGGTACTTTGGGCTGGACAGGATGATGAATGCTTGAGAAATAAATGCTGCAATTTTGTTGTCTGTCTGGAGCATTAGTATCTGTTTCTGTTAATAAGCTGCTGGTGCATTTGTATTCTTCCACAACAGTAATTCCTCTCAAAAACTGTCAGCAGTTAGTGTTTCGAGTTAAAACTGGATTATACTTAATGTCCTCTTTACTTACCATGGTAGAAGAATTCTTTTGGAAAGCAGAGAAGTTGTTACGTAGGTCCATCTATAACAGAATTCAAAATATGGATTTCATTTAATGTCATTCAGGTATTTACATTAGCTATGCCCTTGGAATATTTAGCAATTTTTTTATTTTTTATTTGCATGAAATTTTTGCTGATTTTTATTTCTCCTTCAGGAAGTCAGTGTCTTCACTTAGTCCAAGACAGAGTGGACATGTAGAACGGTTGCCCAGGAATGACTGGCAAATGTAAAATTATTTTCCTCCCCTTCAGATAAATTTCCTTCGCTCCATGCATCTCTCCCACTGTGACTGAGTATAGCACGACTGCTGCTGATTCCATGTGCGGATGGATGCAGCAGAGGGAATGGCTGGACTGTCATACAGTAAACCTGAACCGTATCTTCCAGTGTCTCTATGCCTTTCTTCTGCTGCCAGTAAATGCAAGCCTGTTAAGAGAAACAGTTGGGGCGTTTTTTTGCGTATAGTGGTACTTTAAGACGTAACTGCCTCATTCTACCACACATTGAATTCTGGTCACTTGCCTTGCTGAACCCAAGGAGCAGGTCTTAAAGCTTGAACTGTTTAATCTAGCCAGCTAGTAGCTGAGATGATGGAGCATTTCTTCTAGTCAGCTGAGTCCTTCTCCCCACCAGCAGACCTTTAGCAGAGTGAGTGGTCCTCTCGTCTCAAAAAAAAGTGTGCAACACTTTCCATGAGGGGGCTGACTGAGTCAGCAAGGCCTCAGAGATGGGTGGTCCTCTCGTCTCAAAAAAAAGTGTGCAGCACTTTCCATGAGAGGGCTGACTGAGTCAGCAAGGCCTCAGAGATGACAAAACAACAACTGATGTTCACAGTTATGGTATAGTGATACAGAGAGCCTGGCTAAGTCAGGTATTGACTGTATCTCTTGGTATAAGAATTAGGGACCGCAGAGTTTTTAGGACCTGGCTTTGGAACAAACGAAAGGAGATATTCTCTGTGGATCAGGTAGCAGATTTGTGCAACTGTTGGTTAAAGGACACTGTGGGTGAAGGAAGTTGTCTAGATTCAAGGAGCGACTGGACAAGTACGCTGGACAAACCACAGCTGGTTCAGGGTATCTGATGAGTTGAAATGTTTGCATGCTGTCGGAATCTAGGTAGGGTGAGAAGTAACTAACTGCTGTTGGTGGCAGGATGCTGACCAACCCTTGAGCTGATTCACTTCAGGCTTTTTCAGGCTTTTCTCAGTGTTTTAAAAAAGATGTCCATGTTCTGCTCTTTACAGAAAAGTATCAACTGACATGGCCTTTCCAACAGGCTTTTGTGGCACAAATCCCAGACTTGGGCCATCACTTAGTTACCGCGAGAACGCACCTGAAAGCGAGATAGGATTTCCAAGCCACTCACTATGAGCTTTAAATGGATTATTGATAGTTAGTAATCAACGCAATCACATATTTCATGCCCAGTGACTAAATGGAGTTTGGTTCTGGATATTTTTGATCCCTAGGCTTTTACTGCAGACTGTATCATGTTGAATATTCTTACTGTTTTCTTACTCTCAAAATGGGTAAGATGAATCCAAAATCTAAAAACCTTTTCCTTAAAGAATTTTTCTGCTGCTCTTCTCAGAATTATGTCTATCTTTTGTATTTGCAGCGGAGTTTTAAAACCACATTACATCTAAATTAAAAGGTGGTTCATTTTTATTTCACCTCTTTTGAAGGAAGAGTCAAAGCTCTACAATTCTTCTTTATTAAAAACGGGTTTATAAGGTCTTGGTCAAGGCCTAGGATATAATGCAGGAGAGAGAAGAAGATTAAAGCTAGAAAATATAAATTTCTAAAGCATCAATGGTTGTTATACATTATATAATCAGCTCTTATATTGTAAAACTCTTCTTTCTTACTCTGTTTAACATGTTTCTGGGCCAGAAGAGTTTGGGTGACGTTATTCAGACACCAGTAATTGAAAATGGGTGAAGTAGCCTCTTTTTCTCAAAGTTTTGTTGCAGATTAATTTTGGCTTCTTTATGGTCCCTCCAGTAAAAAATAGAATATAGGCAGTTAAGTGGTTATTAGTAGGTTTTTTTTCCTTTATATTCCTTTTCTGGCTATGTTGATCAGAGCAATTATTCTCAAAATTAATGGAAAAAGAGGGGAATTGCAACAGGAAAGACCTTTCTATCATTTTTTACTATTAGTGAGGTAACCTGTAATGGTGAAAAATTTTTCTTTTTTTTGTGTTTTTGTGGGTTTTTTTGTTTGGTTTTTTTTTTTTTGTGGCTCCACTGTCCATCAGCTCTTTTACCTCCGAAGATGATTTCTGGAAATTCTAGAACGATGGCACCTTGCTGCCAGGAAAACTAGCTCTCTGTTTTCCTGGCCTCTTGGGCAAATTGGTGGATGCTGTAGATTGGGAGCCCCAGTTGCTGAAGGGTTATTTAGAGACCATCAGTCAATGGTCAGTTACTGTGGTGGGTATCTTCTTGCACATTTTTTTTATATGCAGAAGAATAGAAGAATATTTTACTCACCTGTGAACTTGAAGACTTCCTGAACTATCTAATATTGCTCAATATTGAACAAAAACCTATTTGTGTAATTTTTGCTTTTTAACAATATCATTGTTTTGCATTACTAGGAACTGGACAGTCCCTTCAGGTTATATGGGCTTACAATGAATCCACTGCTTTATAATATCACCCAAGTTGTCATCCTCTCAGCTGTATCTGGTGTCATCAGTGACTTGCTTGGATTTAATCTAAAGGTAACTACTCGATAAGCATCCTTTTTTTTTTCACCATGACGTTCAGAATTTTATGATAGATGGATCTTGCATTGTAGCCTAATGAGTTATTAACTGTATTAACTAGAAGAACTGTTGTTTGAAAATGGTTACAAAATTTAAGCTATATCAGAAGAATAGTGATGTAGTTGTCAAAGCAGCCCTTTTAAAAATTTATTGCATTTTTGTGGCTTTCTGACTTCCTTTAGGACACATAATTGTCAAGAATTCTTAGATATAAATAGAAAAGTTTGCGCACAGAAGTACAAGACCTCATTTAACTTTTCTTCATATCTCAGATCTGATTTTTCTCTTGAATTCCTCACTGTTGACGTTTTAGCTCTTTAAGGGACACAGAAAGATGCCAGCTACCCTTGTCTTGCAGTGCGGTCAAGTATTACATAGATACAGTATTACTGGGACCAGTTTTACAGTGTCATTTCATCGTGGTTGAGGGACTGTCTTGTTAGGTCCTACTCTCCGGCCCCCTCTGAACTAGAAACTCTACAAAGTACTTTAGGATTCAGGTTGCGAGGCACATTAGTTTCCACAGGCTTCTAGCACAAATCGCTTAATAGGCCATTATGTTTTCTTATGTCTGCCCCTTTTTTTCCTTGTTAAAAGTAAATGACTTTAAAATTTGTGTATCATAGAATATGCAGCAAATGAAAAAAAATATTAATTTTGTGTTACTGCAGTTCTGGTAAATAGAAAACTGAGATGAGAAATGGTGCTGATTTACTGCTCTAACTTTTCCAGCTCTGGAAGATCAAATCTTGACAATATATAAAGAAGATGAGATAATACAGTGTTACAGAAAAGCTCATTGATTGACAGAACTGCCTCAAAGCAGCCACTGAATCTGTATTTCAGATGCTACAACCTCTTCAAGGATGTCGTTTGGAAAATTGAAGTGTTTACATCTGACTGTCTCGTGCAATCTTTGTATTTATTTCATCTTCTCACTATTTTATGTTCATTTTAGTTGATGGTTATATTTTATTTTCAAACTTACTTGTTTAGTTTTGGAAAGGGTCAGATTTGGGAAAGGTCAAAGACTGCGTCTGAGAACTTGAAATCCTTTAAATGGATTATGCTAAATTACTATATGTGTTGTTGAAGCTGAAGCCAATGCTGAATATTTTGAGTTACAGTAAGGCTATATGGAGGTCATTTGATATTTTGATGGTATGGTAAAACTTCTTAGAATATTTCATTTGCACCAATCATTTATGAGGACGACAGAACATCAGTAGATGTTTGGTTGCAATAGAAAATTGAGACATATACAAAGAGTAAAGTACTGACAATACAGTATGACAGGTAGCAGAAGTATTGTATATTACTATTAGAAGCAAGTGAAAATCTTGAGTATTTTGAGTAATTCCAGGATCTAAACTCATATAGGTTGCAGTTTAAATATCCTGGGATATTAATAAGGTATTATATAACAGGTCAACAAGTGCTCTTTGATAACACTTTTACCAGAGCAATAATTGTAAAGGGTTACCATGCTGTATGATATTTTGATAAAATTAAATATTGTATTTATTTGAAATACTGGGCTGTTCTGCACAGCTCTGACTGTGCATGCTCAATATGTGCACTTTTTATTGTTACTTTTAATGAGAAACTTTATATATATATATACATATAAATGTATATTACTTGGAATATATTATGGTGAACTATGGAGCAGTATATATTATATGTTGAACTGAATATTTAAACAAGCAAAAGATTTAGTGGTAAAAGGAATGCTATGAATGACGGAGCATTAGATAGATAGATAGATGCTCTCCTCTTGTACACTATAGTATATGCCATTCATACCACATAGGAGTTTAAGAACAGTTAAACACAGAGAAGTTCCTCTGGTGAGCAGCAGAGCTCGTGAAGCCGTATTCAGCAGATTTGTGTCTTCAAATAATCTCCTTTCCTCCCTGCCCGGGCTGTTCCCCAGCGCCCTCCCGGCCCTGGGCTTCGCACCGCTGCCTCTGCCTCTGTCCCTGCTTCCCAGTCACAATGGGACCAATCACACTGGCTTGTGATTCTACCATGTGACAAAATGGATGTTCACCTGTGTGAAATTAAGAACAAACTTTAATTCTACAGATTATCTGGGGAGGATTACTGTCACCAGGCCCAAGTATGACTACATTTTATGCTCCTAAAATAGTGGCTTCATAGTGAAAAATCACAAGTGGTTGGGTGACAAGAGTCTGGACATTGCACAATGTTTGCTCATCTTCAGAATCTTGAAAGATGTGGAGTAGTGTCTCTTAAACTTATGTGGTATAAAATATTTTTATATATAAAGCAACACAAACAAGCATTTTGTATTTTATTTGCCTCTGTACTAATGTTTAATAATGACCAAAGTGCATTCTGGTTTTTGAAAGAATGTATTACTGGAGCTTTAAGAACATACTATATTTAGTTTCTCATGTGAAAAATTCATCTGCATCTGATCTGTTTCTTCTTTCTCTGTTGTTTGATGTTGGGATTGTTTTTAAAAATTAAGTACGTTTTATACACAGTTTTTTCCAAATTATGGTACAGACCTACACAGAACTTAATTTTGCACAAAATATATTTTAAGAAAAAAAAAGTACAGCAGGAGTTCTATGGGTGATAAAAGATAAGGCTGTTGCTTTTTACAGCTTCTCACTATGACAAAACCATTCTGTACTCTAGAATGGAATTATTTTTAGAAATGTAAAATGGTGACTATACAACTTTCATTATCTTAAAAAAAAAAAGGGAGGGATGAAAAACATTGTGATTTGGGTTGAAGGTGAAATTAGTTTAACCATGTATACCTCAGCAACTAGCACTGTGCTGGATTGTTGCACTAACAAGTGGTGGCTTGGGGAGAGTAAAATATTTGTGAAATTAAATTAAAAATAATAAAGGCCTTTATTTGCTACCATTAGGTATATTCATTAGTGTTAAAAATGGGATATGTTTAGTCTCCATCCCTCAATATGGAAAATCCAGCATGAGAATAGAGGCAAGTAAAAATATGGCAGATCTTGCGTGTTACCTGTTATTTTTTGCCATGTTTTGTAACTGAAAGTGTAATCAAGCTTGGAATAAAGCTTTCTACAGTTGGTGGTTAAAAAGGAAAAAAAAAAACAAAACAGTGCGGTGAGCTATATCTTTTAGTAATACTTAGCGTATTTCTGCGTCTGCCTGTTTTGATTTAAATCCTCGTATTCTATTTAAATCAAAGCATGTTTGGGAGAGAAATCCTACACATGGAGTGTAAATGATGGTTGTCAAAATTGCACTTTCTTGCAAGATGTCATGGTTTTAGCTACTAACCAGGTGACAGATGCTCTGTGATCCCTTGACCACCATCCCAGGAGAGGATAATGGGAACTGGGGAGAAAGACTTCAACAAAAGGTCTTGAGGATCAAGATTAAGGACAAGGTGGGTTCATTCACCACTTATGGTCACAGGCAAAGAACAGGGTAGACTGAGGAGAGAGTAAATTTAATATACCACCACAAATTTAATCAAATCAGCTCAATCAGAGTAGGATAGTGAGAAAATGAATATGCCTTCCCCTCACCCCTCCTGCTTACCAGCTCCCTCCTCACCCTGCAGCAGCACAGAGGGGCAGGGGATGGAGTTGTGCTCTGTCCGTCACACGCTGCCCGTGCCGCTCCTTCCTCCTCGAAAAGAGGGCTCCTCGCAGTCTTTCCGTGCTCCACTGTGGTGTCTCTCGCGTGGGAGACAGTCCTCCAACAGTCCTCCTCCACTGTCATGGGTCCTTCCCACAACCGTGTGTCCCTCCCCTGGGCTGCAGTCCTCAGCGATGGACCTGTTCCAGCCTGGGCTTCTCTCAGAGTCCCAGCGTGCCTTGGGTGCATCCTCTGCTCTGACGTGGGCTTCTCCATGGGCTACATCTGAACGTTTCACCACCATTAATCCCTCGGTCGGCAAAGCCTCATCCTGACATCTCACCACAGGCCTCGAGGACATCTCTGCTCCTGTGCCCTTCTCAGCCTCCTTCCTGACTCACCCTGGTGACCACATGGTTGCTTTCCTCACCTCACCCTCCTCTGCAAGCCAAAGAACTCCCCAACACAAAAGACAGGACAAAAAGCCTGGCCCAACGTGTTTCCCCTCAAATACGTGGCCGGGAGAGGTGCTGAGTGGCCTGGCCTTGGCCAGAGGTGGGTCAGACGTTCCCCTGGGCTGGGGGAGGCTCTGGAAGTTTTGCACAGGAGACACCCTCACAGACCCCACTGCTACCAAAAAACGTTGGCAGAGACAAACCCATGACAAAAGAACACAAAGTTTCAGGCACTCTTAGTTATGCAAAATAACTAATTTGATAGGAGCTTTGACATGCAGCTTCCGAGTAACTTTCTGTTTAAAAAATATTGAAACAGACTTCAGTCCGATTTCACTAGGATTTCAGTTGCTATTTTGGCTGTTGCGTTATCATAGAATCATCAAAGAATTGTGGAATGGTTTGGGTTGGAAAGGACCTTAAAGATCATCTAGTTCCAATCCCCCTGCCATGGGCAGGGACACCTCCCACTAGACCAGGTTGTGCTCAAAGTCTCATCCAGCCTGGCCTTGAACGCTTTCAGGGATGAGACATCCACAACTTCCCTGGGCAATCTGTTCCAGTGTCTCATCACCCCCATAGTAAGGAACTTCTTCCTAATGTCTAATCTAAATCTACCCTGCTCTTGTTTAAAACCACTGCCCTTGTTATCTTGTTATGTCACAAGATATACTTCTATGTAAAAATCAAAAGCAAATTATAATTCTTACCGAAATCAAAATGAAATGTTTCAATAATATGCAATATTTGGGCAGAATTAATATGTAATAAGAGCTATTTTATCTATTTGTTTACTAATTAGTGAAATATTTTCTGACAGAAAACTGTTCTATTAACAGCTCCCAAACACCCACTTCCGTTAGCTTAATTTTGGCTTTTCCGAAGCTTAGCCTTTGGACTTTAGGCATGTTCTCTTAGTTTTATCCCCATGACCATTGATTACTGAGCAGTGCATTACATTCCACACTTGGTTCATTCGCTCATTTTCTCGACTTACTCCAAATGTAAGCTATTTACAATTTAAAATTTGACTTGATGATCGTGAAGGACAGAACATATATTGAGAAACTGACATCTCCTGAGAGCCATTCGTTTTAACATCCATCTCCAGGTGACACCTTAGTGTGCCAGAACTCTCAGATACTGCCAGAAAATGCTGTGCACAGTGCAAATTACTCTAGACCTCACCTAAGTACCTTCCAAAATAGTTCTGGAGCTGAAGATTATAGGATCTGACGGATGCATTGTTGCTTACTGGCTTGCTTCAGAATGTGTCCCATTTTTATCAATTCTGACCTCAAAACCATCCCATCCCGTACAAAATCCTACGCAGGATCTAAGCAGCTCTCGGTGTTCAGACACAAATTCAGCACGAGCTGAGTGTGTCCTCTGGCTTTCACTGGTTGTGACTGGGAAGTCCTGATATGTCCTAATGAGAGAGTAGTATTTCTACAGCTCATGGCATGGAGCTGAACTTAGATGTATCCTGAGTGCTACATTTGGAATCTGGAGGGACACAAGACCTTTCAGGAAACCACAGAAAGGAGTTTCGAGATGTTAGTTATCTGTGTCCTGTTTGCTTAAGGTGTGATTGTAAATCTGCTGTCTCTGATAAGCTCCAGTGAGCCATCCAAGGGGTAGGTTACATGTACAGCGAAAAGAAAACATTTACAGCCCTTGTTGTGCAGTTACATTGTTACCTCAACCTGGTGTATGTCAGAATAGAACAGCATAAGTTAAATTACAGACGAAATGCAAAAAGATACTTTAGTATTTTGAATAGTCCTTCATTTTATCTTCTATGAAGGGGACATG